ATTTTATAAATGAACAGCATGGATTTGTCAATTTACGTTCGACTGAGTCGAATCTTTGTGAATTTCTTGACATTGCTCTATGTAGTTTTAACGATGGTTATCAGGTGGATACTGTGTGTACCAATTGTTCTAAAGCTTTCGATAAAATTTCTCATAATTTATTAATAAAAAAATAGAATGCATCGGTATACACGGTAATCTACTTCAGTGGCTTGAATCGTATCTCCGCGACAGGAGCCAAGCAGTTGCGATTAAAGGGTTCACTTCCAGTTTCATCCCTATTAGTTCCGGTGTTCCCCAGGGATCTCACTTAGGACCTCTCCTTTCTCCTTTTCTAAAACGACGTTAAAAAATGTCGACATGATCGAAAGAGTGCGAAATAAATTTGTTAAAAGATTGAAGTATAAATATTGGAAATTTAAACCTACAGAAATTACGTCTTTGCAAAAACGAAGAGAGCTTAGGGATCCAATTTTTCTTTTCAAAATTATTAATAATCACATTGATTCTACTTATTTATTAAGCCAAATTTCATTAAAATATCCTAGACCCAAACTACGTCCGCGAGGCCTATTTGCAATATCTTATTGTCGCACTAATCATTTTAAAAGTGGATTCCTAGTACGGGCTTATACACAATTTAATAATGAATATCAAGAAATTAATAAATTTCACAATAAGCCATTCCGGTTCGGATCTGCCATTAGGAAGCTTTTATTTTATTAACATAATTAATAAATGATCGTAGGAATTTTTCTTAGTGTTCGACAGATATAACAAACTAGTGGAGTGATTTCCCGTAACGTAATTGAATATCATGGTGGTTGATCATCATGTTATACAATAAATTTAAATTATAATTACAAGTGATTTATAATTTCTTGCTTAGTGGTAATTATTATGTTAGTTGGTTATAATTATATACTATATCCATTGCATTGAAAAGGTGGGGTTTTTGTTTTTGTTCGATAATAAGGGTTAAAATTATTCTGCTTCAGACTTGTTGGAAAAACTTAGCTGGATAAACGTGAAAATCTGAACCTCAGTATCGGACTCCCAGTTCTTATTCTTAAACATACATATCTACCTATCGATACATCCTTACACAGTTCAAGCAAATAATCAGTCAGGGGATGGTAAAATAAGTTAAGTATTTGAAACTTTTGAATATATATTATTATTGATATTGAATTTAAGCAAATGTGTTGTGGGTTTAACTCAGATGTGGCATGTTTCTGACACGACTGTAACTCTGAAAAGTAAACAGGATACGGAAGTCGTATGTAACGAACATGCAAACTAAACCGATTTATCGATTGCCGTCCAGCAATATGGCCGCGGTGCAGAGACGAACTGGGCACTTCGTTGATATTGCGCAGAATTACACGTAAATATAACAGAACGAGTGTTAACCTAATACCTCGTTGATATGGGCAAAAGATACTCTTTATGTCATTTCACGAAATGGACTAGGGTAACTCGAGGAGAAATGGACCACATTTCTTTGAAGTGTAGTAACTTTTTATCCTTAAAATGTAAATAAAACACTTTGGTATAATATAAATTTACTATAATTATTCAACATTTTTTTACCATTACCATTGTACGAGATTGTTTCTAAAACGCTAAGAATTGAGATCCAAAAAAAAGTACACTCGGTCCATCTCTCCCATACTGTATGGGTGAGTTGGACGACCCAATAAGGAGAGATGGACTTAGCAAAAATATGTAGTCATTCTTCATAAAAAAATAACTGAAGTCTTAAAATCAAATAAAAAAATAGCACAAAACTTAAACAATTGACTAAAAGTTCTTGTTAGTTAGTTCTTGGTATTCCAAATGTTTTTGCAGCTTCATTGATCCCCATTCCGTTAGCAAAAGCTTTTAAAGCATTCGATAGTGCACTTTCAGTCCATTCTCCCCTACATACTCCTCTTTTCCTTTTGTATGTTAAAGGCATTCCTAAAAAAATAATAAACTTATTAATAAATATATATACAGTTTTATATGTAGTAGAAATAATTAACGTAAACCACCTAATGTTCTAGCAAAAAAAGTTTCACACCTGGTCCATCTCACCCTTATTTATCATGGTCCATCACTCCCAAATTGAGAGGAGAGACGGACCACTCTGTCAAACCAAAAGCATACCAGTTCATTAAAAATTATGAGGTTATTATATTACTTTATAAACATACAAATACAGCAATATCAATTTTTATTCTATGTACACAATATCGTATACGTACCCTCGTTTTTAAAGCACCCTTTAAAAACAATAAGCACTTTCTAAACCTTTAAAGCAGTATTTTATCAATTTGACCAGCGAAAACGCGACAGACTTTCTTGATATACGTAGCAAATATGTTGACAGAAGCGCCCCGTTGTTGCCAGTTTAAAATAATATTTTAGTTTGGTAGAAATTGCGATGGGTCGTCTCACCCGCTGGGCCATCTCTCCTCGAATTAACCTATGTATATTTATTCAACAAATTTCATGTTTCAAAATTACCTGTCACTTGATACGAAGTTTGATTGAAGTTAAGTAATCAAGAAAGATATTTGGAAAAAAATATTCACATCGAAATGATGTCTTGTTCAGTGTTTTGGAAAATTTTAACATCAGAGGTCTCTGTTTCAGTTTATTTATCTTCTCTATATCACGCACCTTCCTGGCGCCGTCGTTCCGCCGGAAATGGGCGTCGTCTCCGTTCTAACCCTTACCGCGTTTCCGGTTCCGCCCGCCTTTGAACTCGCCCGAACTTTCCGTAGCAATCCCGTTTCCAAGACTTTTCACTTGAGTAGCTGCGATAATTTGACAAGTTTTGCAATTTAAATCTGACGTATCTTCAATTGATTTGCGAGCACCTTTATTGTACCTACGCAATTCAAATTTAAATTTAAAAAAACTGCCGACACAAGAGCACAACTTTGGAACTATTTCCCCATCATAGTTTGTACTAGATTAAGGGACCGATAAAAATTTAATGTGGATAAAGGGGAATGAAATGCGACGGTATCGTAAATCAAGAAAAAAGAATAAAATCTCGTACAGAAAACACGAGACAAAAGGAAAAGTTTTCGAAATTAGGGACATACTTGAGAACACAGTCAGTTTCGAACACACCTAACATATTTATAGTAATTCCCTATTCTCGTCCTTAAATAGTCACTGATAACCTGGTTCTCTAGAAACGGTCCTCATCTATTTATAACATATCAATTTAATGCTCTCCAAAAGGTTCTGTACTATATACCTATGGTTACCTATACATAGCGTATCGCGACAAATTTACAGTAATAAGTTTGTTCTACTATGTAATTAAAACGTAATACTAAATAGTGTACATGAACATCGCCTATGTCGTCTCGAACTGGATAATATAAAAGTATATAACGACGTGATCTCTGTCCAAAATAATTATATAACGTAATATTTCAATACATAATAAGTATAAATACTATCACGCTCCTTTGTTATTCTTTCCGCAAATCATGGTTCATTTAATTTGTAAGAAGTAGGTAAGTACAATATCTTTTGGTTTCGCAAGGTGCTGTACAGGCGCAGCAGTGTTGCAAGCTCATCAGATACCAACACTTCCTCCATTGCATCGTAGCCACATCGCCGCTTGATTGCTGAATTATATTTTTTCTTACTTCTTCCTTTTAAAACCACTGCTTTTGTTGCTGTAGCTCCGTCTAAAGGCAGTTTGTTGTTAGCTCTATGTATTTCGTTCAGTTTCTTCGTTTTATATCTACTTAGTTTAATATATGGTTCATAACACTTCTTTGGGTGAGTTTAAGATATAATAATTTAAGTCTGGGTTTAATTCTAGAACTTACTAAGTAATCTGTATTAAACAATTGTTGAAATAAACATTGAGAGCGGATATTTTCGTGACTATTTTATTTATATCAAAGTGTTGAGAAAAATACACAGTACCTAAGTAAAAAGACGAGCTAAAAGACTATGTGAAATATGAATATGTGAAAATTATACTTCATTGTTATAAGCAATTATTTTGTGAAAGCTAACACTGTTCTTTGGTTTTAGCAAATTGTTTATTTCAATAATTATCTCTACCCACATTCCTACCTGTTGTGGTAACTTGCGGTTATTTTACAAAATTCGCATTTATTTTCCAATACCACAATGTTACTAGCTAAAAACCGTCTACACTTACTCGTATTTGTAATTTTATTTTGACACATAATACACTCAGATTTTCTTGTAAATAGAACAACATTAGATACTTAAATATTATGACTTTTCTTAACAAAATTGAGAGAACTTAAAAGGAATATAAAGTAAATCGCCACAGTTAAAACGTAACCTAACTGTATGATGTAGAATATCCATATCGAATCTCAGTCTTTTAGTCTGATGGAACCCAGATTATACCAGCCATTGATAGGCACCTATCTGGACTACGCTCAGTATATATTGGCAGGTGGATCGTTTATGACATTAAATGATCAAAATAATATGATAAAGCGCTCCTTTATTCTGACTTGCGCAAACGATTTTGGTTTCGACGCATCTTGTATCTCGACCTAGTTTAAGGCGCTCTGCGTAGTGCTGTGTTTGATTCGGATTACGTCACATTCAGCGGATTGGGTCACCGGTGGCGTTGACTGCGCGAGCTTCACACATAGATAAGTTATGTCACTCAGCGTGTAATATGCATGCTACATCATAGACTCATTACCAATAACGTCACGCTTCGCTCAAGCAATTACAATTTAATATGAAAATACAAACAATAAACTCTGAATACCACGCACAACAGCCAAATTTCCTGAAGCTGTGTTTTGATCGTGTAAGTCAATTAACATCGAAATCCTGTTTAAACTAGCGTGCCTCTTATTATCTGAGGAACGGTGACATTCTTCATTTCCTGCTGCGGTGTCGCAGACGCAGGTGCCGCAACCTATATACTTGCATAGTTGCCATCAGTATGCAGGCGCGTGGCCAATTATAGTGGAGACCTACTTTCTTACCTTCGAACTTTTACTTCCTGCGGGGCAGCAAGGCGGCCGGTCGCACCACGCAACGAATTACGAAAGTGGCGCGAAATGCTCGGCCGACATTCGCGCGGTGCTTGCGCCACCTCAGGAAGTGCTGTTGCGGCGGGATTACGTAGTTGCCTGCGCCTGTCGGACTGCCTGCCACCACCATCGCAGGCTTCACATCGGTTGTCGGACCTGGGGTTCATCGTGGAAGGGGTGAGAGTACAAGCAGACATAAACAAATAGGTACAGTATTGATTACTATATTACTCAGGGCTAAGTGTTTCTACTTTTCAGACAACTTTTCCAGAAAGAGCTTTATTGCTACATTAACAAGTTTATTAAATAATATAATCATTATAGTTATTTTACAGGTCAAAAACTTAGTTATCTAATAAACACGGGAACTTGTGGTTTCATTTATTACAATTATCCGCCTGTCATGGAGCGACTCTTGCAACATTTCTTGGCATAATTTCAAATATGTTAGAAATCCGCCAATGATTTCTTTTTGGGTTCATTCAACGATCATTTTGATGGCAAACAATAATACTTTATGAATTTAGAATAATTAAGTTATTTGGGTGACCATATAAATAACTCTATCATATACAGTCACAGACAACCCATTAAATTCCTATCCAGAAATGACAAATGTAGAGTCCTTGCAACACAAGATGTTAAGATAAGAGCTAACTACAAATCGACAGGAACTGTTATGTAACGGACTGTTGTAATCCAGAAAGTGAACGTGCAGCCATGAAATAGAATCATATTGCATTCGTCTGCTAAGCAGGATGTATAATCTCTCTCGGAACTATGCCGAGTTACCTAAGTCAGGCTTGCCTAACGCTACACAGTTGTTATGAAATTACTTGTAACGTGAAATTATTCAATAATATTGATTTCTTTGATGCTCAGAAACGATTTCATCTATTTGCCACTACAAACCTCTATCTACCACAGTTGGTAGATTGTCCGTATAGGCAACAATTTAATAATCCACCACATATGCAATTATTAGATAAGTGTCAACTTGTGGTTATAAATTCGCATGCGGGTTCCTAAAGCTTTGGCTAAAAAAGTTGCCTTAAATTATTTTAATATGTATTATATTATATTCAGTAAGAAACTCTCAAAGTTTCATATTATGTAAATTGTCAACAATTGTGTTTTTTTCACCTCAAACCTACTTTGTGTCGAATTGCATTTACCGTTGCATAAGTACCGACGTGCTTATGCATTACAGAATCGGAAAAAGTGTGCAAAAACGGTATTAGGGCGAGAAAATTCACATCGATGTGTTCCGTTACACACTCATTCGCCGAGTGCATAACCCCCATCTTCTAGCACGTAATGCGCGCAACGGTGCGCACCCGATCTCGCGCGACCGGTCCCAGAAAGTGGGTCATCTCTTTTTGTTCCACCACGATATTCCGTAATTAGAAAGAGAGGGTGAAGGAACTCGTGCTTAGTTCACATGCGATTATGCAGCATGTAGATTAGCTCATTGATTGCACATTAATTTAGAAACAGCAAATGGTGTAGTAGAGTAGGTTCAGTGCAGAAATTCGTTCAATTTAAATTAAATTTCATGACACATACAGGTGTCTTTTGAGTAATAAATAATCTATTAAGTCATCATCATAAAAATTATTGATATATAAGTAGATGTATTACGAAATTATCCCTACACGTACACAATAAGATCTGATTTAGTTCACTTGTGGTTGTGAGCAGTGAGCACGGAGGCGATCTACCGAAGTGTTAGCCAAGATGGCGGCACGCGGAAGTGTGAGACTTCCGCGTTGCCCTGCGGTGCGCGTGCGCCGCGCTCGCCTCGTGACGACTCCGTACATTAATAACAAACCGACATTACACACAAATCTGTATTATTGCTTAATTTTAATTATATTACATTTTATTTGACTGTAAAATGCAGTTGTGTACCTATCTACGTGTCATTTCGCAATAATTCTTTTTTTAATAAAAAATTCGATGATCCAGTTAGGCACCTACAATATACCTAACATCTGATGCAATCATTTAAGAAGAGCTGCATCACACATATTTATAACGACACAGAACATTACAGGATGTAGATAGATAGTAAGTCAAATACATAGTACTGGTAAATAAGTATTTTACTTAATTGTAATACTATAGCATACTACACTATGTGTGTACCTACCTGTATTCACATATACATTTGTGTAATATTAACAATGCGAGTCTTGGACATCTTAAACCTTTATTTCAAATTATATTTTTTTACCGGAATAGGCAGAGTAGTAGGGTTGAAGGAACTAATATGTACCTAGAGTGTATATTACCTCCCTCTAAGGTTATATTAAAATCAGGATTACTGAACTAGATTTCGACTTTTAACGATTTCAAAAAGTAACAATAAGAATTACTTGCACGAGTTATGTCAAGCTCTATTCACTATACCAGTATGGTTATATCTAAATTTATTTTCTTAGTTTTCAAACTGGGTTGTGTAGAATTTCGCAAAAAGTGTAAAATTTCATACTGTTTACAAACATTCTATCACGAGTCGGGGTCGCGTTGTGCCCGGACATGCCGCCCACAATTGCTGCCAATTGCGCCAATTGACGGTCCCGCCACCCTTCCGCTTTCGACTCAATCCAGTGCCGTCATCATTCTACAAACATCTGCCACTTGGCTGCTTGTATCTCACAAATTGTCTATGTTACAATGAACTCTTGACTTAATAACCATTTTGTTTTATACATTAGCGATCAATGAATTTAAAAGTTTCCATTAGCAATTTACAGATTTCTTATTATGGTCTAACAAGGTAATTAAGTCATAAGTTTTCTTAATTATTCTTTAGGAGAGTAGGTAATACGTACTGTGTAAGCACACGATATCGAAATTAATTTAGGGTTTTAAACAACAGTAGTCTAAGTACAACATAAGCTTTAAATACGAAGGAAAGTTAATTGGAGAAACGCAAATATATATATATAAACACAAATGAACAATTTTGTATACATATTTTTTATTGAACTGCAAAATTTTTTTATTAAGTACAATTCGATAATAAACAGGATTGTATTGCATTGCTCTATGATAAGAACTGCATGCACTCACTTTAATGCGTTTCTGCAAATATGTTGTAATAATGCTACTTAACTTATAATATCTCTGAATCAGTTACATATTTAACACTAAAAGTAATTGACGAAATTCAAATGCTATTTTGTCTTAAATAAATAAAACAATGGACTTCACATACTACACTGTGTGAAAATTGACTGCTTGTGGCCGAACGGTTACCACACTGGATTGCCACGCAGAAGTCCCGGGTTCGACTGTGTATTTGTTGGTTGTATAATGTGTGTGCCCATGGCACCCGCGACACAGGGTTTCCCAAGTGCGGAGCTATTAAAAATAATAATAATATCATACTACATCATTAACTACTTACGAGCTTGTAGCCATCTCTGACATGTACCAAATCTAATATGCAACACAATCGAAAAGCTGAACGACAGTTCATTGTGAACTTAAGGCGCACAGTATCTTTTCGCAACTGTACAATTGTTTCAATTGGCTTAGCCCGACCACTGCTCACCCTTCCGCTTCTATCATATCATCTAGCCAGTCATCTTATTTGCCTCGTTATCTCCCCGCATTACTAACTATACCAATTCATAGCACTGGCTGTCGTACTTACAGTAAGTATAACACCCTATAGGTATATTATAGGTACATAATGTCACAAATACAGTAAAGTTACTGTGAACGCGATAACAGCAAAATTCCAACGCAGTAATGAAATTACCGCTTCCATATAAAGATAACTTGATGGTGATGTATTCATTTTTTTAAGTAACCTTTATAGAACACACATGACAACAGTCAATAATAACATATTATAGGTATATGTGTTTATCTGTGTAAAAATGTACATCCGCATGTGGCTCAGATAATGCTGCCCAACAATCCGATATTGTCAGGCATTTCCGTATTTATCGGCGCGGCGCGTGTATGTGTGGCAACAATTGTTATTAATAATTCAGATAATAGATTCAAAATTCAGATTGCTTATTCGAGTGCTAAATTAATCAGCAACAAAATTCAAATTTACTTGCTAAGCGAAAATAAATATAGAATAGATAGTTAATATGTTATTATTACATTTTAGTAGCAGTAGAGCTTCTTGCGACAGAGTTCGTCCAGGGTTACTTACTAAGTAACCCTGGACGGTTACTTTAAAAGTCACAAGTCCGTCCCACATGGAATACTGCTGCCTTCTTTGGGCGGGAGCTCCCGGATGCCAGCTTGGGCCCTTTGACGCGATTCAAAGACGTGCTATGAGAAATGTTGACGATCCTGTGCTTAGAGACGATATTGAACCACTGTCTGCGAGTAGAGACTTTGCCTCCCTATGTCTGTTCTATTGCCTGTACAATGGCCAATGTTCTGAAGAACTGTTTAACATGATGCCAACAGCAACATAAGTATAAGTAATAAGTAGTAGCAGTAGAGTTCAATGTGAAAGAGTTCGTCCAGAGAAGTACTGCCACCTTACCAATTACCTAGTTCAGGTTTTGAACGGTAAGGTTGCTGTTGCTGGTGAAATTACATGTACATGGACTTGCCAACCTAAGTTTTAGGGTGACGGGCGCAGTGGCAGTGCAAATCAGTGCAGATCTTTGCAATTTAAAGCACTGAGTGGCACTGTAACTTATGGACAGGCGTGTAGCTTACCATCAGGCGCACGAATCCCTATTACTAATTCTGCAAAGTTATGCTAATTATCGAAGGCCACTCGCATTTACGTAACTATAAGTGCAATAATTAAACAACCTTCATTTTTACATTCGTTTTACGGTATTTGAAAGTAATGGCTATTTTATTTATCACCTTCGTCACCTCTAAAATGATAAGTTAAATAAGAAGGTACAATTATATGTATATCTACACAATATGTATTACCGAAACACCGCACCACTTTAACTGCATATTTAGATTGATAAGTTGAGACATCATAATCTTAACTTTTTTTTTTCAAAATTGGTTACTGACGTAACAAACATTAGTTCTTCGCTCTATTTGCGGGAACGCGCAGTGCGAAGATAATTTATCACGGTGCGAGCGAGGTACACTTATAGCTGTTTGAATTGTTCTGCTAACACATGAACACGACTTACTTACATAATTTGTTTACGCATTCTTCGAAATTTATGCTACCGCTTAAGTACCTAATCAAGGGATAAAGGAAGATGTTGTCATATGCCCGACTGTTTGAAAACGAATCTTTAAAAATTCTGAATGTGTATAATTAGAGCCGCACCAATGTTTATTTAAGAATAAATCAAGTGATTACTGGACAAATGATAATAATCATAAATGACAAATATAATTTTTTGGTACAGCGCATCTTAATCAATTGCACAAATCGCCACATTTTTTTTTCATTTTTTTTTATTGTGACTCGGCAAAATGACATCAATTCCGTTGGTCAAAGGTCAGAGATGTTCGTATCTATATCAAAGTTCAACAGACTGTTACTGTTTATTTGCGATTCTAAATCGCAACTAAAAGCATAGTTTAGTCCATCATGTTGTCTCGTTTGCCTTCAATTTTATTACCTCCTCGCGATGTTATCGTATCTGACGTAGTTTCTGTTCTAGGGAATTTTGTATATGAGATAAACAACGTATGTGAACACACATTTTCAACAGAAGTAGTAGCGAATTTACAGATACAATTGTAGTACTTATTATCATATTTGCTTCTTAATTCATATATAGGATAAAATATACCGCTTCATAAGAGTTTTATTAGAAATCAATTAAGTACCATAGATACCTCACCTATATCGCAATAAATATTACATTTACAATTTTACGTCGCCCTGTTGTATTAAGAATGCATGCATTTTTAATTGATATTCGTAACGAAGAATTTACATTGTTTTCCTCTCGACAGAAGAGAGTGACTGAGTGTTGCGTGTGCGCAGTCGACGCCCCCGGGTTTCTAAGCGCATCACGCGTGACCAATTGGTATCGATGTCTTTAATTTAAATCCCACATAATACCACATCAATTACTGTCCTTATGTTACTCATGCTCTTTGCATTCGTCAACTTCGAATGCGACTTTATTCTGAAACAATGGTGACTACCTACATGTTATTCTATATAATGATAAATAACGTGAATAAGTAAAGTTAATTCTCCTGTTTGTTTTGCGCTAAACATGATAATGTCATTTCAATACTCCGTTTTATCCAATATTGGGTAATTCCGGATATCGCAGCATTTTTTATGTTTGATCCGGATCGCATGTTATGTTACCAGACAGTGGAAGTGACGGTATTGAACGAAATTACAGTTTTCTTGAGAATGGTCTCAATTTAAATATGTGTAATAATAGTAAGAAAGGGTACTGGTACTGCACAGATATGAAGGTTTAATTCCATAATACACGTAGGTAGTTCGAGCTGACTTTGGTATTTTGCTTTTTTTAATACTTCCGCCAGCTCAGCTACAAGTGAAGGCGTCTGTTATCATCTCAAAATATGCCACTGCTTGGCTCTTTGTCTCAATTTGTGATTATCCTCTTTGTGTAAAAAAAAGTAAAATCGGAAACTGTATGAAATAAACTAAGATATTAAAATTAATGGTTAGCGCCAAAAGTAGAGATTTTATCTTTCTTTCTTCTGTCTTTCGACATGTTAAGCGTTTCATGCAATACCCGACTGCAATAATAATTGCGAACATGGAATAATTCTATATTTAGTAATGTAGTTCCTTTTTGTTATGTCTGTTGACAATAAGTTTAATCAGGCAGGTTACGACCTTAAAATCGCGTCATTCATATCGATATGACTATATTTTACTTAGGTACCTAGTTTACGATTTCTTTTTAAATAACACATTTATTAATTGATAAGGTAGGTACCTACCTACATATATATAGGTACATAAATACCTAATGCATTGTCGATCGAAGAGTGATGTTTAGTATACACCTTTTAATATCCTGAATAACAAGCTTTCCGAACCCTTAGTACCTACTTGTATAAAGTTCAATTATTATTATAAAATAATAGTAATTGAAATGTGACCAGTGAACATAACACAACATGTTCACTCTCGCCGTTCTGGTAGCTTGGGTGCATCACAACACTTTCTGAGCAGCTGGAATCTCACGCACCAGTACAGCGAAACCTGGTGACAATGAACTTACAGTTTGTATATAAATACTAAAGACGCAAGTAATTATAAAAACTGAGAAGCCCAAACAACTCATCGCTACTCCTATTGCGGGAGGATATCTGTGCTCCTGCTTGTAATAAGACTCTACTGCATTATCTTGTGTATTATAGGTATCTGACTGCTTCGTTCTTTTATAAGATTTCACCAATGCAAATAATAAATGCGTTGCTACACCAGTTGTCATGGAAAATCTTACACTTAGTCTAGCATAGATTAGTATTATTGTGATCAAATGAACCGGCTAATCAAGGAAGAAAACTGTTCTATAATTGTTGATTTTCCCTGCTGTCATCATGAGCGTAATTCTACATATATGTCATCTCTTACGTGTCCGGGATGAACAGGTTTGCAATCTTACGGTTTATTAATCAGACCAGTTTATGTCCTGGCAATGTAGGAAGCGCGACAGCGGTCAGACGGGCAATCAGTTGCATAGCATAATTAACCGTGTGAACCTCGGCATCCGGCTGGTTCCATTCGTTTTCCTCTGCCCGGCAGTTTTTCTCGCCTAGCGTGACGCAATCGCGGATGTTCAAGACGCTATTGTACTTTGTTAAAATAATTATCGTGTTCGTTTATTAATCACTATGTGGATGTAGTTCAAGCTTTATATTGACTTTAGATATCTAAGATGCCAATGAAATATAAGGTATACGTGGACATAACTATGTAATAACTAATAATATTAAAAGAGAATTGTCCTAAATGTTTCATGTTTATTTTTGTTCATAATAAAGTCAACATTTGTTAGGTAAGTCAGTAAGGTGCATATCTATCTAAGGAACTATCTAATTTGCATCATAATATGAACACTAAGACAAACGTAAACTTTTCGATTGTATTTTTCGACGTGCTAAGTTTTTTGTTGAACTTTGTTGTACACCGAGTCTGGCGTTTGTCGACGAGTAGAAAGCCGAGACCTTGGCAATAGCCTTGCGCGTGGAAAACGAACGACGATGCGGAAGCGCGCGCGCATTGTTTTACGTGTATCGTAGATCAACGTTGAGGAGCGGCGCGGTCAGGCGAGCGGGAGACGCAGGGTAGAATAACAGTTCCCTCCATGTCATGACTACCTAACGCACTTGGATTTCGGCAATTTTCGAGATATACATAAACGTCGAGACACCCAAAAATTTACTTTTCTTTGGAAAATGTCAATTACAGTAATTTGGCTCAAAAATAAAACTGAAAGTAATAATAATAAGATATTTAAAAAAAAACACTTGTAGGGGGTTATAGACTTCAGTTCGCATATTCCAGATACTGTTATTAACTCAATTTCGCTAAAAATATCGATTACGTTAGTTACGATAGGACAGTAAATGCACTGCAAGCAATCGACCAAAAAAACTAGGTACAAACAGTGCTAAGTTGTACAAACAGTTCATGTTGCAATGTCTGACAACGTAAGGATGTGTACCTGAATACAAATTAAATCTATACAAGTACACTTTAACTAACGTAAAATTGATCTATTGCTGGTAAAGATTTAATTTCAACTGAACATTGTTGTTGGGTATTATTTTTCATAATGACTTTGACCCTCAAGCCTATCTAATTATATAGTTACTAAATAAAATTGTAGGTACGTTATCTTCTTACCTACTTTCAAACATATTATGAGTATAGGAATATTGTATAGCGCAGGTTTTCCTTTTCTAAGTACCAGCGATCATACATACATATGTACTGAATCTTTGATACTTACTGTACACTTTTATATATATATTTTTTATTTTTTTATTTATTTATTGTATAAAGGACAAAATACACAAATATGTTTCTAATCGCATTTTAAACCACTAAGGTTTGTCATAATGCGACCTGTATCTACACAATACAAATTTGAACATGCTAGCAGAAGCTTATATTTAAGTGCATGTTGTATTATTATTATGGCAAATACAATTTAAAAAATGTTATTATAGTAATTGTTCCAATTCGTTAGTGAGGAGATTTGCAGTACACACACAAATGAATTGCCTACATTTGAAACACAAATCTTGTTCGTGTAAATGTTCACACTACATCAAAACAGATTTCACATCACTTTACGTGTTAAATAAACAAGTGCACGTCATCGTATCTGTTATGCATAGTGTGCAATGCAAACAGATCAAAATTACAAAATAAATAAACGCATTCAAATCTTCTCACCGGAAATTCCGAATACCTACTTATGGAGTTCTGATATTTTATAGAGATTATTTTTATTATTATCTGTAGGTTAATACAATAGTAATAAAATTCGAAACAAGACATGTATGTAAATGATAACAATAGCCAAACTCAAAATCGTAAAAATTGGTATTTGACAATCGCGAGAATCATCCGAAAGCGTAGTTTTTGGAAAAAATAGCCTAATAAAACAATATTTCCAAAATAACATTATATTAAAAAAATACTCCATTCTCTCCTTAAAGAAAACAAGGGTTTCCTGGATACAGAGTCAACAGTTGGACCCGTGTACAGGTTGATATTTATCTAAGTCTCTAGAGAACAAAATAAAGGCAAATCCTTCCTTCATATTTTTATTACAATTGAGTGGCTTAAAGTATAGAGAAAACAATTACAAGTTAAGAGGAAGTTTAAATATATTTGTAATAAAAAAATATATTATATGTTTTGTGCAAATGTATGCAAATTATCCTGATTAAAGGTGCTAAGATAATCGAATAAATAAAATGATACCTGCATCAGCAAAACGAAGGCATTTCAAGAAGTAGACCCCGAAGACAGCGAGCAGCGACCGCTTGTGTTGTATTACAGTGACCGGGGACCGCAGTGCAACAAAAACAAGCCGAGAGAATGTCCTCAATCGTGCGTGTCCTGCCTCTTTCTCGTAGGGTTACCCTCTATCCAGAATATAAGAATTTTATTGTCCTCAGTAAGCACAAAACGATTGTATTGTGTAGTATCTACTTAAATAATGAATACGAGTATATTTAACTACAGTTGGTTCGTTTCAAGAAAATGTAACGACTTTTGTAAACGATGACAAAGTATTGGAAAAAAAGTAGAATGATCGACAAGAATTACATACAAATAACTAGTTTCTATAAGTTATGTTATTTCTCATTGCTATGAATTAAAAAGGAAAACTTCTTGATGTTTTAGTAGGTACCTAATGACGTGAAAGAAGTAAAGACAGACGACGACGGTAACACAGAGCCTCATATAATAAAAGACATTGTTTAAAAATAATATAATTATATTTTTTTTATTAAAAAAAACCAGCTTCAAAAGATTTTGGAATTGCATCTTTTGCCAAGTTTTATTGAAAACGGTTAACGGAATGTGGTTGAAATCCAATAAACCTGATTTATCCCTAATTTGCTACCTTTAGATGTGGAATAGTTTCTTCAAATTTAAATGGTATCCACTTCCAACAGAAAAAATGCCGGAGTAGTCGCGTAACATACACCCAAAAAAATACAGTCGAATTGAGAACCTCCTCCTTTTTTTAAAGTCGGTTAAAAACGATTTTATATACATTATAAGACAACCCTGTGTGAACCCGTTGCGTGGCCGCAGCCGCAGCAACGGTGGGCGGCACGGAGGGGCAGGAAGCCGCAGGACATCCGACACGTACAGGAAGCAGAACCAGTTCCAGAGTCTTTGTCCCTCGCGCCCTCCCGCCGTCTCGAACCGCCCTCACACCCGTCCGCGCCCGTCCGACCGCATTCCTTGGTACTCGAAGCCTCCGAACGCCTGCGCACCCATCTCAAGCGTGCAAGTGCGTTGATGGTTGTAGAGTTTTGAAAATAAATAATGCAATTCTCCACTTCGCGTGATAATAAAATAAAAAAGGCATTAATTTAATGATGACAAAGTCTTAAAAATATATGGCGGGCTTGTCCTTGTAAACTGATAAAGTTTATATATACGTATTTATTATAAGTACATAAACATTACAAGCGCAAGCATTACAATTTATTAATATTGTTTGTTTTATGTACAAATATCGGGTACATGATGCAATCAGCTGACTAAGACTTTTGTTATGGTTACAACTTCACTGTTCTGTAGACGAGGCTCTAATTCTGTCATGGCGGTTATCCGCGCTTTACTCGCTCGCGTAACGAACGTGGTAGTCGGATAGTTCCACCGCCACAAACAACTGCCCAGACGAAATAACGAGTTTCTAAATATGTCTCATACCAATTTCCTCTATAAATACGACGAGTCCGCCGTCTAGTATGATTAACTTTACCGAATGTCTCCATGAAGCGGAAAAACGTCGGCGATGAAAATAACTGCTGAATATTTCCGACTTGTACCTCGCTCAACTCGTGGAAATGGTATCTAAAGACGGTCGGCGCGCGCGCAACTTCCGGAGTAACGATAAACATGGCGGCGACGAGCCAACATGGCGAGGTTTCCGGTCGCGCTGATTCACATATGATGGCGGCGGCTGCTGGCTTGCTCATTGCATTTCTCAATTGTGATTCAGCATTTACGCAACACGTAGGAGTCCACGAACTGAGGCGTTCTGGAATTCGCTGTCTACAATAAATAAATATGTCGCCAAGGTCTCTTCGTTCGTTTGCCTGTGTGTCTGCCCTTTTCGAATGCAAAAATAGCTCATATAGTACAAATATGTTTTCTATATTTATTAATATTAAATTTAATTACAAATATGTTTTCTGTTCGATGTAGGTAAATAAAAAATTAAGTAGCTGCACTATATTACTCACAGGACGTAAGCAGACAATGAAGTTGTCTTTACATCTAGTACTTACCTATGTGATTCACGTTAGTGAAAATTGAGTATCGGCGCCGCAGCTCAAAAAGATCGTCATTGCGTCACGTAAATCTTCGGGAAACAAGACGTTTGCCAAGGAATGTGCGACTATTTGGTGACGAGTGACGGACCGATGATTTTCAAATAGCCCTCCGCTGCCTGCTTTTAATAGGTACACGACACTCATTTAAGAA